GCCATGCAGCTCCCCAGGAGCTGCACCAGGGAAGCGGCCTCCCTTCGCCCAGACCCTACACCCCCACCTCGCTCCTGCACCCTCCCTCCCACCCAGACCCCACACCCCAAGCCCATTTCCCAGCAGCCCTCTCCCACGCACGGGACCCCTCATTTATGGTCCCACCTCAGATTTTGTGGGGGCCCCACAAAATCTACCAGTCTGGGTCCCCCTAGGCTCTGGTGTGCTAGGGGAATGTGGGGAGTGTCTTTCTCCTTCTGTAGGGGCTACATCTGTGGGGAGGGGGGTTGTTCTCACTTCTGTCCCCGACTGTTTTTCCTGTGAGTCGGTGGCCCCCGACCCAAAAACGTTTCCCCGCCCCCGCCCTAAAGAATGTCTACAGCTGGCTTCTTAGAGAGACTTCTCTTTCTTTTTGGAACGTGAGACTCACTGGTGTGTGTGGTACCTGCTTTCACCGTGCAATAACTCTCGTTTCCTTTTCCTAGTACTACCTCTCCTGTTGGTGTGCGACAGGACTGGCTGGAAGCGCTGTCTGTGGCGAGAAAGGCAGGGTCCAGCTGACCTGGGGTGAGTGACTAGGCCTGTGGGACTGGGATGTTAGTGTGATCTTTGGGGTAAGGCGCCATCTCGCCCAACAGTAGCCTCACCTGGGTGGTAAGCAGAGGTGGATGGAGATTGATGGGGGCCCCTCACATCCAGCCCCCCGCTTGCCTGACCAGAAGCCGGGCTGCTGTGGGGAACATTGGCTCCTGCACCTGCCCAGGTTGGTGGGGGGAGGAAGGTGGGGACAATCTAGGGGGCAGTGACACAGGCTGGGGGCTGCTCTGGGGCACACTGGCTCCCCCGCATAGGACAGGTGGAGGGTTCAGGGCTTCCCACAGCTGCTTGGACTCCCCAGGCAGCTCTTACCACAGCCTAGGAAAGTGCTTCCCTAAATTGTGGGGGGGTGCTGCCCGAGAGGGACAGTGCTGGGGGGGATGCAGCAGCACCCAGGTCAGCCCCAATGGGAGGCGGGCACAGAGAGCCCCCCGGCCCTGTTCTGCCCCCAGCCCCACTCAGGCCCCGCCCCACCCCCAGCCATGGCTTTGTTCCCAGCTCCGGCCTGGCTTTCGTTCCTGGCCCCAGCTCACAGGACGGGGGGTGGAGGGAGAGACTAAAAACCTCCTCGGATCCCAGGTTAGGGTGACCCTACATCCCATTTTGGGTTGGGGGGAGAGGGGCAGGGCCAGCTCCGCCTGGGAGGGGAGGAAGGAGGGGCTGGGCTCAGGCAAGCAAGCGAGCATGAGGCAGGGTGGGGATACATTTTCCCTTGCACAGCTGTGTCTTCTGGCCTGGCTGGGGCAGAGGGGGGCAGAGGGGAGCAGGGCTCAGGGTATGGATGGGAGAGGAAATGGAGGAGGCAGAGGCCA